AGTGAAAGTCAATCAAAATTACCCATGAGCACAACACTATAAAGGACATTCTAGAGAACTTAAATGAATTAATTAAACAAAACTCAATAATTTAATCAAGTAAAAAAAAGAAATCAACAAATATTCTTACTGTTAAAATATATTCTGAAAACAGTGGAGATTCTTCTATTGAGTGGTAGGGCACGCTGGTGAAGAGAAAAATAGGGATTGGAGAGATGGAGTGCGGCACGCTAGGGCTGGGGAAGAGAAAAATAGGTATTGGAGTTTGGAGAGATGGAGTGGGGCACGCTAGGCAAAAGAAAAAGTTGGGATTTGGGCAAGAGAAAAAGTTGGATTGGGGAAAAAAGGGGGAAAGATATTATTATAAAAAGTCAAATTTTTTAATTAATTTAGTTTATTATAATTTTGTTATGGGGCAAAATTGAAAAATTAAAAAAATTAAAAATAAAACCCAAGTGGGTGGGTCTACCCCTGCTACTAAGACATTCAGTAATGCTTGTTTATATCATATCATGTCATGTCACGTCACTTCAAATATTAAATTTATAAGCTTCTCTAATAGTTTAATAGCGAAGAAGAAGAAGAAGAAGAAGAAGAAGACAAAGAGGATGAACTCCCCCATTATAATGAGAATTAAGTAAAGACTAAAGTTTTAATTTACAATACTTTTGTTATAATTATATCCTTCACTCCTTTGGGTGGAGGTTAAAGAAGATAATTGAAGGTAGCTAGAAGCCCTTATGATAATCAAATTAATCGATGGAACGAATAGGTTGTTGGACGTCAAAATCGATTAATGCAAGGGAAACTTTTAAGTAAGTTTATTGATAAGTGATTTTTTACAAAATAATTTTAAATAATTTAAATTTTATTTATAGAGTATGTAGAATTGGATCTTTTCGCTTTATAATCTAAAAGAGCAATGTTTTTATCGATCTTTTTAGTTATTGAAAGGATGTTTAATGGTTGTGAGTAGTGTTCAGATACCCAACCCGAGGTGTCACTCAGTCAAGGGGTTGGGTCCCGGGTTGACCACTCTGACCGACAATTTGATTGGTGATGCAACAAGTTTGAAGTCTAGCAAACACAACCCTGATAAATTCGCATAAGTCCTTATAAGTTTGAAATCTAGCAAACACGCCCTTGCTATTTGACCATGCATTTAGGGTTTTGTTTTCCTAGGCCAATTTCTAGCTGATTCCAGCAGCCAAAAATCAATCCAACATTGCCACCTGAACCATCGGCCTCCACTTTACAAAACCCCTTCTAACCTCGCCACTTAGTAGCCCCCCGTTCACCTATTGTGATTCGCATATACTACCACGATTAGGTTGATTTTTTTTACCCAGATTCCAATCGTTATTGACACTAGGGGATTGGCGATGGTCAGGTAAGGGTGGGGGGTGAGTGGGAGGGGATAAAAGGCGCTGAAAAATGGCCAGAAGTGGTCGGCGATGATTTTGAAATAGTGGATAGGGATAACCCAGCTCGGAGAAGGCCCTGGTCCCCAGTCCGACCAATTAAACCAGTTGGACCAGGCCGGATTTCAGAACATTGGTTGTGAATACTCTTAAATTCAAGTGTCCTATAAAGTATAGTGTTTTTGTGAAGCATCCCAAGTGATTATGTATAGATAAATATATAAATACCTGATGTATTTACTTTTGTAAGAAGTTAGGATTGGAGTGGCAATAAAAGCAGTTGAACTGCCGAAGATGCCTAGAAGAATTCTAGAGAGGCAAGAGAAGCAACACTCGGTTGCAAAGTATGCTCGAAAAGAAAAGAAGAGAGGAATACTTTTTTGTATTTTATACCTTTTATGTAAAAGTTTGTACAATTTATACAATTGTAACAGTGATATGCAAGGAAGTCAAATATACATAAATAAATACAAATCAACATATAAACGGAATGAAATAAATCCAGCAACACTATATATACTTAGGCCGCATCAAAAATTTCCAATCTATGGCGCGTATCATTATTCACATGTCAACACTCCCCCTCAAGCTCGTGGTTTATAAATGTCATAAACTCCGAGCTTGCCTAGTAAATGTGAATGCTGTCTTTGACATAACAGTTTTGTGAATATGTCTGCTGGTTGCTCTGTAGTCTGGATGTGTTCCGTTTGAATCATTCCTTCCTGTATTTTATCTCTAACAAAATGGATGTTAATCTCTATATGTTTCGTTCTTTCATGGAAGACTAGGTTGGCAGCGATGTCGTTTGCTGTTTTGTTGTCACAATATAGTTTGACCGGTGTTTCCACTTGTAGATTTAAATCTTTTAGTAAACCAAGGATCCATGTGATCTCACATATAGTTTTAGCTATGGCTCTGTACTTGGCCTCTGCTGATGAGAGTGAAACAATGGTGCTTCTTTGTTTTCCATGAGATGAGAGACTCTCCAAGTTTGATACAGAAACCAGTGAGAGATCTTCTTGTCATTGGCCATGAACCCCAATCTGAGTCACAGTATGTTGTGATATTCATATCTCCTTTTCTAGGTAAGAGAAGTCCCAGCCATGGACAACCTTTTAGATACATGAGTACCTTAATTGTTGCATTCATGTGGGATTGTTTTGGAGCATGCATAAACTGGCTGAGAATTTGAACTGTATAGCTAATGTCTCGCCGCGTCATTGTGAGATATATGAGCCTTCCGACGAGTCGCTGATAACTGGAACTATCTTCTAATAAGGGATCTAACTCAGAATTCTGATTTTTCTCATCATGTTCTTTTGTGGTGAGTTTAGCATTCTGTTCTATAGGAACGATGCTTGGTTTGCATGTTGCTAGACCTGAATCTGAAATGAGTTCCAGCACATACTTCCATTGGCTGAGGGATATTCCTTTTGAGGAGCGAGCAATCTCAATACCCAGGAAAACTTTGGTGCTCCTAGATCTTTAATGTGGAATGTTTTGTGTAGGGGTGGACCCAACCCCTTGGAGGGTAGGCCTCACATTTTAAAAAAAAAAAAATGTTTATATAGGCCCCATAAAAAAATTCTATTAATATATATATCTCTAGGCCTATCTTCAGATTTAAAAAAAAAAAATATATATATATCCAGACTCATAAAAAAGTTGCTATTAACATATATATTTCATACCTACATCACATTAAAAGTTTAAAACTCTCTCCACTCTTTTCCACGTCCATCTGTTTTTTATGATTTTATCCCTAAAATTCTTTATTCTCTCATTCTCTCTTTCACTTTCTCTATGTTATTCGTTCTTAAAACTTTTGAAGACTGAAATTGTTGAAGCTTTCACTCATCAAGGTGCCACAATCAGCTTCGTTTTCTGTTTCCTCAATTTTAGGTATGTGCATTGCTCATTTCATTATAGTTTATTTTAGGGTTAAATCATGCTTATTTTTTGGGGGTTTTTATTCTAATTTGATGGAAAAAGGCATGGATCTTGTGAGTTTGTTTTGTGTTTAAAAATGTTCCTGCTAGCCCAAATTAAACCTTAACTATATTTTACTGAACGTTATTCTTCACCCACCATTTTCCTACATTTCAAACGTCACCGTTTAGCTGCTCAAAATTATTAAAGAAGTTTGAATTATTATCTATGTTTATACTAAAAAAAATTCCCCTTTTTTTATTAATTCATATTAAAAGTCAAGACAACGTTGACTTAACTTAAGTTTTGGTTGACTTTAGTTTAGGCTAAGCCTGATCAAAGTCATGAAAATTTATATTATAATCTTTGAAAGCCAAAAAAAAAAAAAAAAAAAAAAAGAGGAGAAATAAGAAATTTGTGTAGAACATTTTGGTGGATTGTGATTATTGTAAACTCTTTTAATTATATTGGATTTAAGTGGATTGTTAGATTCCCGTGATCTTTTACTCTCTTTAATTGAAGAGGTTTTTCCATATAAAAATTTTCTTGTGTTTCCTCGTGAATTGAATGTTATTTTCAACATAATTTGCTCAAGGTTATGCTGCTCATAGATTTATTCAAGTGGTAAAGTATTATGTTGTTGCATTATTTTCTTTCAGATAATTTATATTATATTCTATTATTTTATTTGTTTAAGGTTTAATGATTTTTTTTTTTTAATTTTTCACTAGTTGTTTGACAAACAATGGCGAAGCCACGGAGGCCCTCCCTGGGCAAAAATCCTAGGTCCGCCACTGGTTCTGTGTAGATGTTCCTTTAATTCTGTGATTGTCTTCTCATCGTTTCCTGTAATAAGAATGTCATCAACATAAACAATGAGACTGATAAGACTTACCCTTGTGTCTGGAAAATAGGGCATAGTCATGTTTGGATTGGGTGAATCCAATAATTGTGAGAACTTCCATAAATTTTGCATTCCATTGCCTTATGCTTGTTTTAGGCTATATAAAGATTTTTGCAATCTACATACAAGATTCTCCCCCTGATTGCAAAGGTTGGGAGGAATATCTATATAAATCTCTTCGTCAAGGTCCCTATGAAGGAAGGCATTATTAACATCCATCTGGTGGAGTGGTCAATCATTGTGGGAAGCAATAGACAAGAATGCACGAACAGTGACATGTTTGGCCACTGGAGAAAAGGTCTCCTGATAGTCGAAGCCTTCCCATTAGGTGAACCCTTTTGCAACTAGTCGAGCTTTGTATCGTTTAATGGAGTCATTAGCTCGATGTTTGATTTTGTAGACCCATTTACAACCAATAGGTTTCTTGTGTGAGGTCCAAGAAACAAGATCCCATGTATGATTGCTGACAAGAGCATTTAATTCTGCCTCCATGGCATGTCGCCAACAATCATGTTGTACGGTATCGCAAAAGGAGTCTGATTCCCGATCAGTGGAAATATTGCTCATGAAGGATTTGTTTCTAGGGGGTAATCTGTTAAAACTCACATACTTGGATATGGGATAAGGAATACCTTCTACATGAGAACAGATGTAGTCGGCTTGCCATACAAGGGGTTTGGAAACTTTGGAGGACCGCCATAAAGGAATAACATCTGGTGATGGAATGTGGGGAATTGACTCTGTAGGTGGAGAATCAGTTGGAGAGGATCTTGATCGGACAGTTTAGTGATATTGAGAGATTCCTGAGGCTCATCTGAGTCGGTAGGGTTGTCATGCTAATCAGGATGAATCAAAGGGTCAAAGGGTTGTTGAGCAATGAGAACTGGAACCATGGTGATTGGAGTGTCAGGTAAAGACTCCAACAGTACAGGCGGTGGTATAGGAGAGGATGTGTCACAATCAAAGAAGGGAAAAGTTTCCTCATGGAAAACAACATCTCTGCTAACAAAATTTATTAAGTGTGGATCATAAAGACGATACCCTTTCTGGAGCAGAGGATGGCCCATAAAAATACATTTCCTGGCACGAGGAGCAAACTTGTCATGGGGTCCCACAATTGTAGAGTAACATAAACAACCAAAGACTCGTAAGAGAGTGATATCAGGTTTCTTTCCAAACAATAATTCGAAAGGAGTTTTACCTCCGATAACCCGTGTAGGCATGCGATTAATGAGATAGGTGGCAGTAAGCACACATTCGCCCCAAAAGGTGGCTGGGATACAAGCTTAATGTTTTAGGGCTTGGGCAACTTCCAGAAGGTGACAATGTTTACGTTCAACAACCCCATTTTGTTGGGGGGTGTAAGTGCAAGAACTTTCATGTAAGATCCCGTGGGAAAGAACGCTGTTTATTAAAAAATTCCAAGGCATTGTCACTCCTAACCCTTTGAACCCATGTGTTGAATTGTGTTTGGACCATTAATAGGAAGTTAAAGATGTGACTGAAGGCTTGGGCTTTGGATTACATAAGAAAGACCTAAGTCTCGCAAGAGAAATCATCCATGATGGTTAAGAAAAATTTGGATCCATCATGATTGGGAACAGAGTATGGTCCCCAAATATCGAGATGGATAAGGGTAAAAGGTTGTTTATTGGAAGATGTGCTAATGGGAAATCTTACTCTTTGTTGTTTGGCAGTGGGACAAATTTGACTGTTTAAGTAAGGATTAGATGCACTATGACCCAATCTTTGATGCAAAATTAGAGAATTTTTATTAATATTGGCATTAAAAGAGGAGATTTTATTGCTAAGAATAGTTGAAAGAGGCTCCCAGTAATAGAGACCATGATAGGCCTTACCTAAGGCCATATGTTTGCCAGTCGAAGGGTCTTGAAAGGTACACAGATTAGGATGAAATTGTAGTATGCAGTTATTATCTGCGGAAAATCTTGAGACAGATATAAGGTTAAAGTTGAAAGCAGGGACGAACATGACATTTCTAAGAGTTATGCCCTCGGTTAATTTTACAACCCCTGTATGAATGGCGGGAGCAATGCTACCATTGGGCATCCTAACAGATAGATGTGATATGGTTTTTGTATGTGTTTGAAAATATTTCGGGTCACAAATTATATGATCACTAGCCCCTAAATCAATAATCCATAAATCACAGGAAATTGAATTACTGAAACAGAAAGAAGTACCTGCATAACTGGCGGAAGCTTTGTTTGTTGGCATTTGGTTCAGCATCTGGATGAGTTGAGTAATTTGTTCAGGTTTGATCAATGGTGGTTGAGCTTCGGATCCGGATGTGGTGGTGATAGTCACATTGTTGGCGGTTGGATTGCCGTTTTTAGGACGACCATGTAATTTCCAGCATGTCTCCTTATTGTGATTTCTTCTTTTACAATAATCACAGTACATTTTTTACCTGATCAGAATGAACTAGATCCATTGGATTTATTCTGAAAATTCAAAAAATTACCATTGGATGAATTCCCCAAAGGTTGACCCGGTTGACCATTGACCCCACTAACTTGGTTGATCGCCTGTTGGCCATTGGATTGCTTGGGCAAATTTGGGTCGTTCATCCCTGGATATAAAAATTTTTCCTTTTCTTTGTCATTGGAAAAACCTAGTCGCGCCTCCCTCTTTTCTTCGCTGTTTGCGACGAAAGCCATAGAATTACCCATTTTTGGTGATTCCATGGAGGCCAGCTTTTGACTCTCGTCTTGGATGGCCAATTAATAGGCCCGACAGAGTGATAGTGGTGAAGTAGTGGCAAGCATCTGCGTTCGAAAGGGCAAAAAATTGTCATTCAATCCGATTAAAAAATGAATTAACTTCTCATGTTCTTTGATTCTTTTGTACTACTGAAGTGTTTTTGGTGATCCTCGTAAGGGTTCAGCGACAACATCGAGTTCATTCCACACGGCAGAGAGGCAGTTGTAATAAACTATGACTGCGTTGTTGTGTTGCTTGATCTCGGCGAGATTCTTGAGAAGTGTGAATAGTTTAGCCAGATCTAACTATCTATACATCTCCTTGATGAATCGTCAGAGCTCCTTGGTGATCTTTGTTGGCGACAGACCTGCAGCAACCTCCTAGGTCAAGGAGTTGCTGATCCACGAACGAACCAGCATATTACATCTCGTCTAGTGTTTGTGGAGATAGGGATCAGCTGGTGGTGCGACGGTGCCAACGATGTAACCATCTTTGTAATTGGTGATGAGGGCTCGCGATTTTGTTGCATAGTTCTCGATGCCAATGAGAACTTGTTTGACTAGAACAAGTTTCGGTTCATTGGAGGGTGAGGAGGAAAGGGGTTCACTAGGCTCCGGCCGACGCTGGTTTGGCTGGAAAATTTGGAATTGAAAGGGAAACGGGAAACGGGTTTGGGCCAGTTTGACCGGAAAACCCAAATGGATATGTGTTTGGGTTTAGGCCGGTTTGAGGATCTGGGTTGGTTTGCGTATTTGGGTTGTTTTGGTTATTTGGATTAGTTTGTGTATTTGGGCTGCTTTGGTTTTCCCGGTTGGGCTGTATATGTGGGTTGGTTTGAGAATGTGGGTCAAGGCCCATTTCTGGTGTAATCGGCTTTATTGGGTTTGTTGTTGGGTTCTGGTTTGAATCCATTTTCTAATGAACTAATCCTAGGATCTATTTTGCAGGGAAACCAATAACAGAGGAGAGGCAATGGATTAGTGAAGTTGAGAAACAAGAAGAGGATCTGGCTAAGGAACTTGGCTCTGATACCTTGTAAGAAGTTAGGATTGGAGTGGCAATAAAGCAGTTGAACTGCCGAAGAATGCCTAGAAGAATTCTGGAGAGGCAAGAGAAGCAACACTCGGTTGTAGAGTATGCCCGAAAAGAAAAGCAGAGAGGAATACTTTTTTGTATTTTATATCTTTTATGTAAAAGTTTGTACAATTTATACAATTGTAACAGTGATATGTAAGGAAGTCAAATATACATAAATAAATACAAATCAACATATAAACGGAATGAAATAAATCTATCAAACACTATTCATACTTAGGTCGTATCAAATATTTCCAATCTTATAAATATGGTGCATATCATTATTCACATGTCAACAAATTTTAATCGAACTTAATTGTTTTTTTTTTTATATTTCCAATATTATTTCTTCATATTTTGTACGTACTGCGTCTGTCCTGTCTTCCCAAATCAAAACAACCATGGTTGACTTAAATTAATTAAGCATAAGTAAGTGAATGAAAAGTCAATTATCATGTGTATATATATGTCCCTCGAATTGCCAGCTCGATGACATTTTAGATTAGTTTTGTGGCAGCAAAGTATTTTGCGACGTTGTGGATCACATTTTACATTAGAACTTGCATGTTAACACATTTTGACATGACTCCATGTATCCTCGACGATGTCCACAGAGAATTAACATATCATGGCTTTTCGCATTGCTTTCTGGTTTTTATCAGATAAAACGTTTTAATAAGATTAAATGGAGACCATACCATTTTCTAAACTAGAAAAATATGTTGAACTACCAACAGACAGATAACATTGATAGGTTGTTGAAATATACGATTTAATGTGATCAGAAGTAAGCGCCGCTTTTTGTATTTACTATTTTGAGTTCATGGTTTTAATTATTATACAGCTAGCTCTTCTTCATCAGTCTAAATTTAATCAAAAGCTAATAATTAGATAACACTCGTTTCAGGCTTCCATCAGTGTAAGGGTTAATTATAGAAATAAATAAATAAAACAGGAGGGGATATATTATTAAATTATATTTTCACCGATAAATGGGAGATTATCATGCGCTTACTGTATAATTATATAATCAGATCGTTAACTAATAACTGAAACACATTTAAACTATGATCCACCTTTCCTGATTAGAAAAGTCAGTAGGTGTAACTATAAGCAATTAATCATTTAAATTATCTTTTGATTTAAGCTTTTCTTTTTAGATGTAGCTAGTAAACTGTTCTGAAAGAGGCCCTCATAGAACTGTTTGGAACAAAATAATCAAATTTTTTTATTTGATTGGTTGAAGTGCTTTTACAGATGCTACTTAATCATATCCTTTTGTTTTAAAAGAAAAAAGAGGATTAATTTATTTATTTCATAGACAATTAATTGGAGTTGAGATTATATCGAGTTCTTTCGTTGGGAAGGTGTGAAACATACCTGAAAAGTCGCTTATCTCTTATTATATTTTACATAAAATTCACTGTGTAAATTAAACAGGGTGAGACAAAGACAAAGTTCCCATATTAAAACCCTACCCACAATAATTTTCTCTCGGTAGTATTATGAGTATTTTGACAGATACCTGCAGTGCGGAATCAGCATTTGAGAAAAGCAAGGTCATTGATGATTCATCAGAGAAGTGGGTTTTTCATCATATTGGGCTAGCTATCAAATTCAACATATTGGAAACGCATATTAAGAAATGCACATCAATTATATAGAGTTTGAAATTTTACTCCTTAAAAGTCAAGAAACGTGCACATAAATCAAATATTGGGACCCTAGCTATAGAAGTCAGAATAGTTTTTATTCTTTAAATGAAATAGGGTTCTTGAAAAATGAATCAACCAGAAAGTTAGGTGGTCAAATTGAGAATTCTAATTTGATAGCTGCATGGAGATGGAGCATCAACAAATACATATCACCTCGTTTTCTAAGTTTTTGGTTATTAGTTTATTAAGATGCTTAATCCCCCTTTTAAAGGTATAACCCAAGTTACGTTCCCCCTTACAATATATGCAGCTCTTACATTAGTAAAAGTTCTGATTCTCACTAACACTAAAACACGAATCAA